CCCCAAAACCCCAAAACCCCAAAACCCCAAAACCCCAAAACCCCAAAACCCCGATTCCTTAATGCCAAATTGAGTTAAAATCCACTAAGCCAGTTGACCGGTGGCCTTCTTGTCCAGTCCCTTCCTCTGCAAATACTCGTTGTGCTCGACCTCGTCGTATCTAGGGTTGAAGTGCCAGTATGGAGGCCCATAGTTCTGCTTGAAGCCAGAGTACTTGCTGGATGTACCCACTAAATTTCTCAGCAAGTATTTGAAGTAGAGTCTTCCGAAAACACCGTGGTGTGGACTCATGTGGTTCTTCGGGTGAGGCTCGAAGTCGTAGTAGTGCTGGAACGATGTGGCAGTCGTCTGGCCCAACAACAAAGGCATGTATGTGTATCCATCGTAGATCGCGTTCAAGCTCTGGCCCTTCAAGTATCTCTGGACGTTGTGCTTGACAACAGGACTCTGAGCCATTGTGGCGTGAGCAGATCTCGTTGTTGGGATATTGGCTGCAGATCCGAAAGCAAACACATTCTCATACTTTCTATGTTGCAAAGTGTATGGGTTGACATCGATGAGTCCGTTCTTGTCGGTGAGTCCGCTCTCCACAGCTTCTTTCTGTGGCTTCTGAGGTGGGTTGATGGACATGCCCATGAAATCTTTCTCGATAGTTTCGCCTGAGTCTACATTCTCAAAAACTCCAATTTTCTCTCCGTACTCATTGTACTTGACTTGCTTCAAGTCCCATCCGAGCATGACATCAATGCCTCTCTTGTGACAGTCATCCATGACAACTTCGTTGGCGTAGTCGAAGTCGAAGATCGACTTGTTTGGAGTCCAGTACTGCACTCTGGCGTTTCTGGCAGCTCTTCCATGCAAACTGTCTTGCTTCAGGATGTACTCGTAGTAGAATGCATAGAAGTTGGACCCTTCGTCTTTGTATGGCCTGGCTGGGTCGTAGACAATATAGTCTCCTCCGTACTGCTGGAACCCGTGGTAATAGTTTCTATCGAGCCTGTCAATCTTGTCTGGGATATGACTGAAGACATTGGTCTGGTCTCCTGCGTCTTCGAACTCTCTCAGACCTGGCAGGTTGTCTACAGTGTGGTCGAAGCCTGGAGCATACACCAGAGCTTTGTATGTGTACTCTTTGCCATTGGAGATGCTGATTTTGTTGGCTTCGGGGTCAATTTTGGTTGCTCTCAAGTTGGCATCAACTCTGGATGCAGCATTGACTTGTGAAGCCACACTTCCTGACTCCAATTTCAGTGACTTGACAGCATCATGAGATGACAAGAAGTACAGTTCAGGAATAATGAACTTGGACCTGTCAGTAATGATGGCCATCTTGAGTCCCTTACCCTCATTCTGGAGGAACTTTGTGAGTGCAGTACCATTGAGCCCACCAACAATACAAATATCGAACTCAGTGGCATCCTTCGGCATCTTTTCGATCTTGCCACCACCTGCAAATGTTCTGGCAGGTTTAGTTGTGAGTTGGTTCACAGTCCTGTTAGATCCTGCTCTAAAAAGCTTTTGGTAAACTTTCATATTTATAATATATTGTAATTCAATATAAAATTATTATAAAGGGGTTTTGGGGTTTTGGGGTTTTGGGGTTTTGGGGTTTTGGGG